TAATGTTTCATGTGTTCAAAGACCACAGCTAGCACTGGGATCTGGAGGAAAAGACAAAACTTTTTGACTGGAACTGGGTTTTTAGGCTTAGGCAGTATCAGGGGTTGAAGTCACTTGGGGAAAACTGAGTTCCATTCTGTGTGTGGGGCCTGAAATATTTCCTTTCTGTGTGTTAAGTATTTCTCTTCACCACCTAACTGTAGGCATTGCAGCTCTTTGAGTCCCACGCAGGGCATCTTGGCCCACAGCTCTTCACTAAGTTTGCACTGCCCTACATCCGTGATGTGGCCAAGCGAGTGAAGGCCATGCTGCAGGAGGCAGGCCTGGCACCAGTGCCCATGGTAAGAATGGGAATTGAGTGAAGGTGGGACTGGGACTTTCAGAATAAGTCCTGCATGGAATGAAGTGGCCACTGGAGGGCAGCCGAGGTACAGCTGAGGTAGGTTAGTAGGCAAAGCAAGGCCCCTGTAGGCTCAGAAATCTGTCCTTTTGTTCCCTCAGATTGTCTTTGCTAAGGATGGACATTTTGCTCTGGAGGAACTGGCTCAGGCTGGCTACGAGGTGGTTGGGCTTGACTGGACAGTGGCCCCACAGAAAGCCCGGTAAGTAACGGAGGGTGAGGTAGAGGGGGTGCAGCTGCCGTATGTGTAGTCACCAGAACATAGCACCAACTCTGCTTCCAGGGAACGTGTGGGGAAGAACGTGACCTTGCAGGGCAATCTGGACCCCTGTGCCCTGTATGCACCTGAGGTAACAACCAGAGTCCTTGTGTATGTCTGTGAGTTTGTCTCTGTGCATTCCCATGGCTGTAGAGATGGTTGTATTATTGTATTTTTATGTCTGTCTCTCCCCTCTACCCCATACACACCATGTGAACTCCAGGAAGGCAGGAATTTCTTTTCACTGTTGTGTTTATTTGTGTTTTCTTAGTGCTTGGCCCATCCAATAAATTTTTTTGAATTAATGACTGAATGAATAACACTGAGTAGAATTGCCTACATATATGTGTGACTCTATTATGTATAGGGAGGACAGAGGCTTGCTGGCCCTCCCTGTAGCTAATGCCCTGTTGGTCCCCCAGGAGGAGATCGGGCGGCTGGTGCAGCAGATGCTGGATGACTTTGGGCCACAGCGCTACATTGCCAACCTGGGCCATGGACTTTACCCTGACATGGACCCAGAGCATGTGGGGGCCTTTGTGGATGCCGTGCACAAATACTCACGTGCACTTCGACAGAACTGAGCATACAGTTTTCCTCCTCAAGTACTACCAACACAGAAGATTGTTTCCAGGAGAATAAAAGTCCCAGAGTTGGAGTCTAACATGTGGTTTTGTTTGTGAAAAATCTGTGCCCTTATCTTCAGTTCCTTCTTAGTGTCTGCTCCTTCCCCGGGGCCTCCATCTGCATCCTCTCCCAAAGTCATGGGAACTCAGATATCAGGGTGTGCACTGTAGGACTTAATGTTAGGGCTCTCCCCACCATCTTGACTTCAGATCTCCAAGCCCCAGAACTACATGGGTTTGGGTAGAGTTTCCTAACAGCAGGAGCTATGATACTTGCAGAGAAATAGGGTCCCCACAGCTTATGAGGTCAAATTGTGTCTGGGGAAGGGGAGTATAGATCAGAGAGGGGCACAGGAATGGCTGGAATACTTCAGAGAGGCCTATCAAGGAAGGTGGAGTCTAGGTAAGCAGGGAAGAGGTGAGAAGCCTTCAGCTTTGATACCAAAAGATGGGAGGACATAAAGACTTAGAGCTAGGCCCTAACTGGTTTGGCTCAGTGGATAGAGCGTCGGCTTGCGGACTGAAAGGTCCTGGGTTCGATTCCGGCCAAGGGCATGTACCTTGGTTTCGGGCACATCCCCAGTCGGAGGTGTGCAGGAGGCAGCTGATTGATGTTTCTCTCTCATCGATGTTTCTAACTCTCTATCCCTCTCCCTTCCTCTCTGTGAAAAATCAATAAAATATATTTAAAAAAAAAAAGACTTAGAGCTAGGTTGCTCAGGGTTAGAGTTAGACTTGCGTCACTGAGGTGAGGGCCTCTGAAGACAAAAGTCCCTGTGTTGCTCAGGGTTGCTCTGCATTCTTTCCTGAGCATACCCTCCAGTTTTCTCAGGATCTTGGTGTTTCTGCCCATTATGATGCTACCTATTTCCTGGGACAAGGCTCTACGCTGTTTGTGAGCTCTGGAGTGGGGTTTGGTGTGGCAGGCAATTCATTTGTCCTCCACATCTTACACCACTAGAAATCCACTGTGCTATAAGCCCAACCAGCACCCTGTCCCAGCCAGGGCAATGCAGAAGAGAGAGAAGACCCCCATTTATTGAGAAAACACAATTTCTGATTTTACAAAAATCTTTTCTGTGATCCATGATTTATTTATAGAAAAGCACTGAGTTCACATACTTGCTAAAAAATGGCAACCTTAATACAGATTTGGGAGTGGCTTTTTTTTTTTAAACCAACCTGTTGGGCTGAGAGGTTGTAGGGCCCATGGCTGAACAGTAAGACTTCATTAGCCACAAATAGCAAATACAACTTACTGGTTAGTGTGGAGGGGGGGGAAAGAAGGCAAAACAAACAGTTTGTCAAAGAAAGGAAAATAGAGCAGACAGGTCCTTAGTTCACACTCTAGCTATACCACCCTTCCTATCACACCCCATCCCCTACTCAGGAACTAAAACATAAAATAGTAAACACCAAGACACTGGCATCCAAATGACTCTTCGGAATGCCCTTGCTACCTCCTAATTTCAGGCTGAGCATAGGGGCAGGAAGGTAGCAGGAATGTCATACATTGTGGAGGTCAGCCAGGGCTAACACAGGGGTTGCCCACTAGGGCTAGAAACTAGTCAGAAAGGGAAAGGCCAAATGCATCCCAGCCCCAGCCTCCAAATCAGTAACCAATGGGACTGTGACCAAAGCAGGCAGAGGAAGCTTGAGGTAGAGAGGCAGAGGGAGAAAGCAAGTGCAGGGTGAGGAGAGAACTGGAGCTGAAGAAGCCACTCTTAAGATAGACTAGTGATTAGAAGCTTGTTTGGTGAGAGAATAAAGGAGGCACAGACGTGGGGAACATGTTTAGCTGGTGAGAGAGACTAAGAGGAATTGGGAAGACAGATCTGGCAAAAAGAGAAGAGCCACATCCATGCAGATGCTCAAATATAAATTCACATACATACCTACATGTTGAAATATACACAATTACACATGTAAAGATGCATCAATGGAGAGCAAGCATACACACAAACATGTTTATGCACATGAACTCATGTGTGCCCAGATACACACTAAACATGTATCAACATGAACACACACACAGATAAGTATTCCTACATGTTCACAAATGTGTATACCCTCACACAGAAACCCATAGTCCAGCACACAGACACACACATGTGCACATACAGGTATGCACAGATATATATCTGCATACAGACACATGTACTTAGCCATACGGATACACACACACACACACACACACACACACACACATACATACATAATGAGAGATGAAACTAGACACTAACAATGGTGACCAGAGCAGATGAACAGTATGAGCTCAGTGGCCTCCCAGACCTCCACCTGCTCCCTGATCTTGTTTCTCAGGAGCTCGCAGGCTCCTGGAGGCTGTGTGAGGCAGGAGCATGAGCTTCAGTGTCCTCATGGCTTCGTGCAGCAAAGTCTAAGTTCAGTCCTGGCCCAGCCCCTTACTCACCATGTGGCTACAGCTACCCCTTCTGCAGGCTGCAGTTTCTGCATAGACTAGACTTGGGATTTATTCTAACTGGCATTTTTCTCCCTGCCACTTGCACTCTTCCACTGCCAACAGTATATACTCTGCAACGGAAACCTGAGAAATGGTGTGAGTCTCCTCAGAAAACAAGTCTACCTTCCCACCCACAGCTATTTCAAGTACCCATGAAATTAGAACCAGAATTATAAATAGTTACAACTTTACAATGTAATTGGCAACACATATACTATAATATTTACAGTACCATACATGCTTCTGTTTCTCTGGTTAAGCAATCCCTGAGATGGAACAGTGTTCTGTGTTTGCCAAGGGAGAGAGGGCCAATGCCCAGGACACACGCAGGATATAGGGGCGTGAGGTGGCATGTTGTAGAGTTTCTGATCGATCTGCAGGGCCCAGCTCCTCCAGGAACAGTGGGCTATACCGAGAATCTTGCCAAGGCAGGTTCAGGCCAGGGTTGGACTCTCCCCATGCTTAGCCCTGTGGTCCTTTGGTTCAGCCACAGGTGTGTAGGGTCCTCTCAGGGTGGACAAATGTTTCAGTGTCCTTGACCTGACCCGATGGTACCGGGAGCCCAGGCTGCCCCGGCAGTGGGCTGTCTGCTTTCTCAGCCAAAGCGCTCTCGCACCAGCAGCATCAGCTTCTTCTTGCCTTTGTAGATTTGTTTGAGGTTGTCGATGAATTGGGCAAACTGCAGGTGGCCATCCTGCGGCAGCAGGAAGGTCTCCCGAGCCTTGCTCAGAAACTCAATAAACTCTCCATAGTGACGAGGGCTGATGTGTGTCAGGCGTGAGTGCGTCGTGTTGATATAGGCATTGATGGTGGCATCCAGCAGCTGGCGCAGTGGAGCTTTGTCAGTGGACATGAGCTTTCCAGAGCTGCGGCGACCTGGGATGCCAGCCAGGCCAGGTGCAGTCACCGTGCAGCGCCGTAGGATGTCTGAGAGCACTGTGGCACAGTGCACGCTCTTCACCACCAGGGGAATGAGGGCCGCCAGCTCATTCTTGCCCAGAGAGTGGCTGAGGGCACATGCCCAGAGCACATCATTGATAGCTGGATGGGTGTCCTGGTTGTAGGCTAAGTTGAGATGGCTCATGGCCAGTGAGGCCAGCTTGAAGGCACGTAGCGGGTAGCCACGGAGCTCCATGTAGCGGGCGATGGTGAACAGCTGTGAATGGGTCATGCCACCGGCGGCAGCATCAATGGCGATCTGGTAGGCTGCCTCGAAGGCGATGTGGTCTTTCTCACAGAGTGTAAGGGCTGATAGGGCACAGCTCTGTGGATCCTTCATAGCACACTGCAGGGCCAGTGTGCGAGCACAGCTAGCCAGCTCCTCCCGCTGTGGGTAGTCAAGACTGAGGCGCAGGATAGTGGTGTGGGATACGGCGGTGGCAGCCACAATGCTAGTAGCCTCGGTGGGGGTGAAGAGTGTGTACCAGCTCTGCAAGATGCTCACCAGGGCCCGCACACCTGTCAGGGAGAGCCTGAGCTCAGCTGTGGCCATCCGGGTCCCGATCCACGCCTGCCCAGATTACCATTTGGGGTCAGAACTTGCCTGCAGAGATGAGTTTTCCCTTCTCCTCAGCAGCCTGGAGATGATCCGAGGCAAACCAGGGCAAGGGGAGCATCCCGGATGGCCAGACCCTGTTCCATTCCTTCCTTCCCCTGGTCAGAGGACTGAAGGTCTCAGCAGGTGCTCTTAGCCCATCACAAGGACGGAGCGGCAGAGCCCCAGATCTGCCTGGGGGTTCTAGCTGAAGTGGGGCCTCTCAGGGTAGAGTCTTATGCTGGGGCTTTGGGCTCTAGATGGGGTCCTGAGCCTCCAAGTTGTTTTGGGATTTCTCAGAAGTATGGATAGGGACTGGGTCCAAACCACTGGGTCAACTATCTCGCAAGGGTGCACTTGAGTACTGGCGGTTGACAATTCATTCTCTCAGATGTCTCTGATCAGAGGGACAAAGTGCTGCTGACATCAGGATATAGTCCAAGCAGAGAGGCAGAGCCTGGGCCAGCTGGGGCTACCAGTGGCCCCATCCTTTCTTAGGTCATCAGTAACAGGAATAGGAGGGCTCTAATGATTTGTTGTCCTGTCCCAAGAGTAGGGCCCAGGAACTCCTTTACCCTGGGGGTAGAGGGAGGTGGAAGACTCACCCACTTCTGTAGCACAGGTCACCAACCACCGAACCATCTCCCGGCGCCTCCAGTTAAGGGTTGATAAGGTCATTCTCATCACCTGGGCAAAAAGAGACATTTCCAGTGAGTTAAGCATATGAACTTTCTCTCCCTATTTGCCATTTCTTTATGCAACAAGTATTTATTAGTGCTTTAAACAGTCATCGTTCCCTTGATAAGTACAGACAGGTTTGTTTAATTTCAGCCCCACCTCCTACAAAACTGATAAAGGCTTCACTGATGACCTCTAACAAATAAGGTGCTTATTTACCACACCTTGCTTGACTTGGAGGAATGGGGGTGGGTGGGAAGAAGACCCGGACCCCGTGGATCCTAAAGCTATGTTGCTTCTGGACTTAACTTCAAAATGGAGTTCTTACCTTGTGCCTAGGCTAGAAGTTGTGTTCAGGGGACACAGAAAGAACCAGATTTGGCCTACGCCCAGTCCCCCTAAGATCTTATCCTCTGTTAGTTGTCCGTAGGTCAATTACCAGACTAACGCCGGGGAGGCCCACTCTCCATACCTGTAGCCCCAGCTCCAGGGCCACGTTGAGCAGGGTGCTGTCAGTACTGCTGTCGGTGGGAGTAGCAATCTTGAATGCATCTTGGGCCAGTTTGAAGATGAGGGAGGAGGAATGGATGTGCTTCTGTATTGCTTCCAGGATTGTTCGGAGCCTCAAAGTGTCTCCTATAGGTACCGAGAGAAGGGGCAGGGATAGGGTTTTCTTCAAAGTTTCTCCGAATGGCCCACTGATCACCACAGGTACTGGTTGAACTGGCTGCTACCAATTCACTGAATGCGACACCCCTTCTGGACAATCAAGCTCTGTCTCCACTGAACCCAACCCTGGAGGCTGCTTTCCTCCCGAGGCGCCCACATGGATTCACTTCTCTTTACCCTTTCATCTGCCTCTACCCCTCGCCCTCCTTTTCCTCAGGCTCTTTAGGTCTCAAATAATTTTCATAAACACCTGAATTTTGAGCTGCTTATACAGAAGACAGAAAGCAATATTATTGCCAAAAATGTATGCCAGTCCCATTGTTTGCCTCCCTGGAGCAAAAAGAAGCTGGGCTACCACTTCCTATTCAGTACGAGGGCACAGAGTTAAGGAATACTCCACAGGAAGGGCATGGACACCACCAGAAGTGAAATTCACTGCATGAAGGCAGTCTGGTGTATGGAAGATTGGTGTATCTTGTAAAGGGGTAGTGTTAAATAAAGATGGAACAAAAAGTAGGTGTTATGTTTTACAAAGAGGTATAGTGGTAAAAATATATAGGCTTTGGAATAAAATACATCAGAAATTGAACCTAGTTCAGCCATTTACCAGCTCAGTTACTTCATCTATAAAATGGAAACAATAACCTTTTAGGGTTGTTGTGGGAATTAGAAACAATTTGTGAATAGGTAATATTCTATTCAACTTTTATATAAAAAAAGATAAGTAGCAGTGTGTGTATAGTGTATGTGTGTACATACATATGAATAGAAAATGAATAGAATATTTATACGAATGTCTGAGTGGTAGTTATCTTTGGGTGTCAGGATTATGGGAGAGATTACCTTTTTGCTTCTGTCAGCTCTAAAAACAATTTTTAAAATTAATAAAATTGAGCATAGTACAGAGTTACCATATACCCCATTTCCCCACTTGCAGTTTCCCCTGTTATTAACATTTTACATTAGTGTGGTACATTGGATGAACCAATATTCTTACGTTATTAATTAAAGTCCGTAGTTTACATTAGGGTCCATTGTGGTTGTACAGGTCTATGGTTTTTGACAAATGCAGTTTCATAGATCCTCCATTACTGTATCATACAGAATAGATTCATTGCTCTAAAAATCTCCTATGCTACACCTACCTACTCATTTTTCCTTATTCTTCCTGTGTCTACTGATCTTTTTACTGTCTATAGTTTTTCCAAGTACAATGCCATGTACTTGGAATTATAGTATGTAACATTTTCAGACTAGCTTCCTTCACCAAGCAATATACATTGAAGATCCCTCCACATCTTTCTGTGGCTTGATAACTCATTTCCTTTTATTGGTAAACTAGAGGCCCGGTGCATGAATTTGTGCACAGAAGGATCCTTAGGCCTGGCCAGCTGCTGGCTGGGGCCTTCCTTCATTCCGCGCCGCCCCCTGGTGGTCAGTTCACGTCATAGAGAGTGACTGAACTCCCGGTCTCCCGGTCAAACTCCCGAGGGGATACTTTGCATATTAGCCTTTTATATATATAGATAATATTCCATTGTATGGATGTATCAGTTAGTTTATCCATTCACTTTTTGAAGGACACCTTGGTTGCTTCTAGTCTTTGGCAATTACAAATAAAACTGCTGTAAACATTAGTGTGCAAGTTTTTGTGTGGACATAGATTTTCAAGTCATTTTGGTAAATACCTTGGAGCACAATTGCTGGATCATATGGTAAGACTATGTTTAGCTTTGTAAACAACTGACAAACCAACTTCCAAACTGGCTCCAACTTTGCATTCCCAATGAGAGTTCCTGTTGTTCCACATCCTCGCTGATGTTTGGTGTTGTCTGGGTTTTGATTAGTCTTTCTAATAGGTATGTAGTGGTTATTTCACTTTTGTTTCATTTCTTTTCCCTAATGACATATGCTGAGCATCTTTTCATATGCTTGTTTGCCACTTATCTTCTTTGGTGAGGCATCTGTTTAAGTCTTTGGCCAATTTTAAAATGCAGTTGTTTGTTTTCTTATTGTTAAGTTTTAAGTGTTAATTGTATATTTGTGATATAAGTCCTTTATCAGATAGTGTTTTACAATATTTTCTCCCAGTCTGTGGCTTATCTTATCAGTTTCTTAACAGTGTTTTTCACTGAGCAGAAGTTTTTCATTTTATTGAAGCCTACTTATCAATATTTTTCTTTCATGGATTGTGTTTTTGGTATTATTGTATCTAAAACGTTATTGTCAAACTCAAGGTCACCTAGAATTTCTATGTTATCTTCTGTAAGTTTTATAGTTTTGCATTTTATTTTATGTCTATGACCCATTCTGAGTTTATTTTTATGGAAGGTGTAAGGTCAATATCTGTATTCATTTTTTTGCATATAGATGTCCAGTTTTTCCAGTACCAATTGTTGAAAAGACTATTCTTTACTCCTTTGTCAAAAGTCAGTTGACTATATTTGTGTGGGTCTATTTCTAAGCTCTCTATTCTGTCCCACTTACCTATTTGTCTGTTATTTTGCCAATATCACACTGTCTTGATTACTACAGCTTTACAGTTAAGTCTTAAAGTTGGGTAGTGTTAGTTCTCCAACTTTGTTCTTCCTTAATACTGTGTTGGTTATTCTAGGTCTTATGCTTTTCTATATAAACTTCAGAAATAGTTTATCAATATACACAAAGTAACTTGCTAGGATTTTGGTTGAGATAGTATTGAATCTATAGATTAAGTTGGGAAGAACTGACATAAAAATAATATTGAGCCTTCCTCTCCATGGATATGAAATTACTTATTTAGATCTTCTTTGATTTCTTTCATCAAAGTTTTATAGTTTTCCTCATATAGATATTGTATATATTTTGTTAGATTTACTCTTAAGTACATTTTGGGGGGTGCTTTGTAATGTGTGGGTTTTAAAAATGGTATTGTGTGGGTTTTAAAAATGTTATTGATTTTAGAAAGAGAAAGGAAGAGGGAAAAGGAGAGGGGGAGGGAGAGAGGGAGGGAGGGAGAGAGAGAGAGAGAGAGAGAGAGAGAGAGAGAGAGAGAAACATTGATGGTTGCCTCTCAACCAGGGATTGACCTGGGTATGTGCCCTGACTGGGAATCAAACCAGCGACCTTTCAATGCATGGGATGACACTCAACCAACTAAGCCCACTGGCCAGGGCTTGTGTGTGTTTTTGTTTTGTTTGTTTTTAAAGCATTTTTTAAATGAAAAAAAATATATTTTAATTGATTTCAGAAACAAAGGGAAAGGAAGAGAGAGATAGAAACATCAATGATGAGAGAGAACCATTGATCGGCTGTCTCCTGTACACCCCTTACAGGGACCGAGCCCACAACCCGGGCCTGTGCCCTGACCAGGAATCAAACCATGACCTCCTGGTTCACAAGTCGATGCTCAACCATTGAGCTACAGTTGTTCATTGCTGGCATACAGGAAAGCAATAGACTTTAGTATCTTAACCTTGTATCCTTGGTATAATCACTTCTTAGTTCCAGTTTACTGTTGAATCTTTGAGGTTTTCTACATAGACAATCATGTCATTTGCAAGCAAAGACAGTTTTATTTCTTCCTTTCTAATCTGTATACCTTTTATTTCCTTTCTTGTCTTATTGCATTAGATGCAGTATGATGTTGAATGGGTTTGGTAAGAAGGGACATTCTTGTCTCATACATGATTTTCAGGGGAAAGCACCTAGTTTTTCCCCATTAAGTATGATGGTAGCTACAGATTCATTGTAGATGTTCTTTTTTTTTTTTCAATCCTCACCCGAGGATATTTTTTCCATTGATTTTTTAGAGAGAGTA